ATATGACAACAGACATCTTTAAACATACCTCAATCATATTCTTGATTTATCAAACTTGTATAAATCTAGAACAACTTGACAAGAAGCAGATTTTACTACAGCCCTGTAATATTCAGAGATCAACTCTGCATTTAACAGGCTGTGATGAAAAATTCAGAACACATCAACAGATTAGACTGTTAGTAAAATCTGACTATTTTGCTTGTGCTGTGCCAAAATCACTGCAAATGGACATTACATGCACTGGACATTTTGTCCTCATATATTGTGTCACATAATATCTAAAAGATTTTACAGCTATGGTGCATGTCTTAGCAGCTTAAGATACAACTATTCCAACCGCATCACTCAGTCATTACAATGTACTTGTTTGAGAGTCTCTTTAAAGCATATTATATGTGCTGCTTCCAGTGCGGCTAGCAGGTAGTATGCAAGTATGGCAAATTAAAGAGTTAACAATATAATTAGAGACAAAAATACAGACTGCCACGTACAGCTTTAAAAAGAACCAGACCTGCTTGGAAATAAACAGGAAACACATGTCTGGGACAGATGGGCAAGCAGACCAACGGACAGAGGCAGTAACCCCAGGCATTTGGTATAATCACCTGTTTAGCTTGAACAAAACAGAAGTAAGGCTGGATTTTACCATAGCAGCTTTGAAAGCAAGTGATTTAAGACTGGGTCCAAACACCCACCACTTGCACTTCTACTACTATTACTACTGGAGCCATGAGCTACATCCCACATCCACCCTGTTACTTAATTACAAGGTGGGGCTTTGTCCCAAATCTGATAACCCAACTTAGCATAACGAAAACTGAGGTTTGCATTTCACTACAAAGCCACACCGCTCAACTCCCACAGAATACTTGACTACATACGCTCACTCAGAGTCCCACTCCACCCACTCCCACAGAGCCTGAGCTCATTCCCTTCTGGAACGCTGTGTTCTGTTCAATACTGTATAACCTGTTCAGCAGGGAAAGTTACATACATGTACCTGTGATTTATTCATCTAAGTTAAGACCTTTTCAGCATGATACAAGGTAAACTGAAGCTCATAACAGATCCTAAAATCTACCTAATTTGCTTGTTCCAGATGACATTTTAATTTAAAAAAAATATCGTCACTGAAAAATAAAGACTACAGTAAGACAGATGTTTTCAAAAACTATGACAAACTGGCTACAGGACTCAGTATATAGCCACAATCACATCACCAATTATTTTTGGAGTCTGCAATCTGAATAAAGGTATTTACACACTAAACAAAAAACAATTGGAAAATTCAGTCATTTAACTTGTATATACACACCGAACATGCTACATTTTTGCGAAAAATCGTCTTCAAACAGACCTTAGGTTTATCTGATGGACTTCAGGTTTATCATACTCTCGTGAGAGGGCAGCAGCAAGGAGAATTTCATGGTTTGATTCTGGAGCTGAAGCAGCCAAGCCCTCAACTTTAATCATTACCTGTATCCAAAAGCACAACTTACAAAAAAAAGTTCATCCCCCGTACAGCTGTTGTCGAGGGGCAAACTTTCCCCCACAGACATTTTAATATGGGAATCTGGGGAGGCTAACTGGCCACAAGGGTGAATGCACTTTTTGGCACCTCCACAGTGGCTTCATTATTCAGGTCCAGGGGTTGGTGCTTGGGCCAAACACAGACTTTAGTTAAACCCAATCACACATGCTGACATCTCCTGCGCAAAAACAATTAAATGAACGGAAGAATGTTATAAGGGCAAGACTCAATTGCCCTTATAACAATTGTGCTTCAACACGTGGAAGCACATGAGAGACTCGGTTAATACGGAATAGGTCAGAATATTATTGTAGTACAGCTACGTCAAGTCGTGTCATTACTTTTTTTAAATAACATTGTTCTGGAAAAAAAAGACAACAAGACAGTTTTACTCCACATCAACACCAGACCTACTAAAGCGATTTTAAAAATAAATAAATCTTGTATCTTCTAAGGAAAGCTTAATTGCAAATACAAGATGGAAAGGATGTACCACCTTACTAAGGCCTAAGGGGCTGAGCTGGTTCACTTTGGCTACACTAGTTAGCTTTACCTGGGAGGAATGAAACGTTTCCATTTCACTCTGACACATTTTTGACACATATTTCCTTTACGTTTTCAGTGCCCAGTGCGTGTATAAGAAGCACGCCTTGTTTATGAGTAAAGCTTTAATTCCAGGAGGGAACAGGAGATACGAACATCAAGAAACAGAGAGGGAGAGTAGAACAAAGAGAATTCAGAGTGAATGAGAAAAACTTGAGCCCAGGACATTGCAGCATGGGGGTGGGGTCTCATCTCCCCTGACTAAGTCAACGGAAAGCGGGCCAGCAACATAATCAATAACAGTGACTGCTATTTCACTCTGTCCTCCTTACACACTATTGAGACCCATCCCTAACAAATCACGGAAAGGAAACACCTCCAATATGTCTCGCTTTTAAAGTCTGGAGCCTGCTGCTGTTATTTAACCATACCGTCACCATCATGTTCTCAACAAATCTCACAGCTAAGAATGTGTCTACAGTTCGACTCATGGAATGATTCAGCCTATTTTAAAAGGACCTGTGGCTTTGAGCAGGCTGGACTTCAAAACAATGCAAACAAAGGAACATGCGTGGCCTCGATGCTTCCACGAGTCAAGTTATAATTTTGTGGTTTTAGATCAAGCGTGAGATCTCTCTGACATGCTATGCCCTGCTCACCGAGCGACTCTGTCACTCTGCAGCCATTGTCAGTAACAGCTGATCTGCATACACATTAGGGCTGGGCGATATGACCCAAAATTCATATCTCGATATTTTTTAGCTGGATGGTGATATAAGATATATATCTCGATATTTTTTTTTAAAGCCATAAGTTAAGAACAAAAAGAGAGTTCTTAGTCACACTGTGTCCCAGATGTCACACAGGCACTTTTATTTACATACAGCGTAGATGTACATGAAGAAATTACTTAAAAATAAATTATCAGCATTTATTAAATAATCATGGTCCATAAATAAAAGAAAACAATGTTGTTTTTGTGCATAACAAAAAGCTCACAATGGTGCAGTCAAAATGTAAACTAATAGACGCTGAACATAATAACAAAGAGACAGATTTCACAGCTGCACCACGTCTCTGAACAGGTGCCATTTGTGGTCCTTATACACACACAGTACGGTAATATTACGTTGAAGCACAGTAGGTATCACTCCGCGAGGCTCCTCCCCGGTAGCCGTAATCCTCCGACAATCCATCAAGCGGTGCAGCTCCGTAGGTTAGCAAAGTCATATTAAAACATTTTTTGACAGATTGCTGAGCGCTGTGTACCACATAAAATCGGTTCGCGGTCAGTAAGCACAACCAGAATTCATACATAAGGCGCACTGTCGAGTTTTGAGAAAATGAAAGGATTTTAGGCCGTGCAGCTCCTCCGGGCTGCATGTCGTTAGCGCGGTTAGCTCGTTAGCGTGGTTAGCTCGCTAACACGTTGACGCCGTCCAGCCCCACGCACGGGACGATCCGCTGTAACTCGCTAACGGAGATTTTCCGCTTTCATCTTGTCATTGCCTGCAGGTGAAGCTATGGGGGAGGCGGAGTTGTGTTCAGTGAAGGAAAGGCGAGGCCGAGTAACGTTGCGTAGAGACAAAAGTGGACGAAAGAGAGGCAAACCTGCAGCTCCACAAGTATAATTATAACGTAACATAAGCTATATCGATATAAACGATATTGTCACATCTTATATCTCGTATGAAAATATATCGATATTTTTAAAAAACTCGATATATCGCCCACCCCTAATACACATAGACCAGCACAGGAGAAACTAAAGTGATACAAGAGCCTGTATAAGCATCACAATGAAACACCATTCTCTCTCCCACAGTCTGTAAAATCTCACCCAGCATGCAGCTGTAATTGTAGCTCCACAACAGAAATTAAACACCGGGAACAGATTTGCTCAGCACCATGTGAAGCGCTGTAAAAGCAACAACTTAACTGGAAATGAGAGCCTGGAAAAAAAAACCTCCCAAAAACAAAACCATGGAGTGTCAGAGAGGAGTTTGTTAAATATGCACTTCATGACCTCTACATATTGTTCTGAGGTGTTGCACACAGGCAGGTTGTGTTGTTCTGACACCAGATCTATATTATTACAGTATGTTCCTGTTTTGTTTATGTGCAACTGTAAATGGCACATATTTGTTGGCTTTCACTAAATATTTATTATAACGTGTTATTTAAGTTCATGACTATTCTGTCTTGGTCCTGCAGGCCCCACAAGGAAATGTGTGTCATGCCTGGGCGTCAGGACATTGTGTAAAAGTTCTTTTATCCTGTTGTTTCTAACACCAAGGAGTTCACTGTGAGGTCTTCAGTCATGACTCATGCAGGAGTTTGCACATCAATGGTAACCAACAGAGAAGTCAGCAGATGCTGAAGTCACTGAAGCTCTGCTATCCCTGCATTTGTTACCAACACTAGGATTACATGGCATAACGCAGAAAAATTAAAGTTAAACTAAATCAAAGAACATTTAACTCATTGTGTTTAGGGCTTCTGCTTAAAAGCCATCAGCTGAGGAGTGAAACAAAATGAAAAAACAAAGAAAAAAGGAGGGACTTTGACAGAAGGAAAAACCACATTCATGTCAAACTCCCATGAGTGGCAGTATCGTGTGAGGCAAGTTGGCATCTCACACAGCTACAAGCAAGCCTTTGCCCAAACCCAATCATCCCTTCACATTATCTGCCCACACACAGCTGTAAACAGGTTTTCAGAAAAAAAACCTTGCAATAAAGCAAAATTATCAGCTTCCACTGGACACTGTAAACAAAGTCTGGAATTTTCCAGAGCTGCTTCCTCTGTACCGTCTCGACAGAAGGATAAAGATGTATTCCGACGCCTGAGCCTCGCTCGTAAATTTGATCTCATTTGCACCAGTTGCCCACCTGGCACAGAGAAATAAAACATGTGATCTCACCTGTGGCGGCGTCCTCCTCCTCCTCTTTCAGCACATCATTTTGGTCGTTCCCCTCTTCTGCCTTTCTGGTGCCGTCCTTCACCGGCACCACGGTGAAGTTGGTGGGCATTTTTATACCCTGTGCTTCCTCTCAGTGTCTCCTGTTTGTCACACTCTTATCTCCCGCAGCCCTCCTCCGCCCCCTCTGTTCTGCTGAATCTTTTCCTTTCTCTGTCCAGCAACTGTCACTCTTCTTCTCTTTCTTCCTACTGTTCTCCGTTGTTTGCTTTCTGTTGTTCAGACCAACTTCCCTGGTGTACTTTACCCTCATGGGCAGGACGCTGTGTCTTGCTTCTGAGTTTTTGTTCCTATCGCTAGGATTCTGCTGTCCACCCATGTGACCCCGACCCCCACCGCACCAACTACCCAAATAAGGAAGAGCGCTGCTGCCCCGCCCAATGGGGGGCAGTGCACATGAACACACACACACACACACACACTGAGGTTGAAAAACTACATGCATTAGTGCTCATCTGTGAGTGAGAGCACATATAGCAGCTCTTTCTATGCCTGAGGGCAGATCCCCTGACCAGGAATGCAGCCTTTTTCTCACACACAGGCACAACAACCACCAGAAACAATCACCTTTGTTCAAAGAGGAAGTGCAAAGCTGCCACACACACACGGACACACATGTATTTCCTCACTTGCTATGCAATAATTTAAACCCCATGTGCAGCAAGTGTGCAGCAATGCTGTTCTGAAGATGTATATAGACTGTGTGAACATATAACCCTAAAGAGCGTTAGCACATATGCTTATGTGTGGAAACACACAGATTTCTGAAAGATGCTCATATAGAGTGAGCTGTACATCATCCAAGGTTTAACCAAAACTGAATGGTCATTGAGACATAATAGAGAAACTTCTTTCAGGGATTAAGAAACAGGAGAACATCGAGCCTTTGTGCAGTCTCCACAGTTAATCCTAACCTGTCCAACTTTTGCTGAGTACTTTAAAACTATCTTTACACAGACCGTCATCTTGGTCATAGGTTCATACTACAGGCCTTTTTAAAGAAAAGAATCAGCACAGAAGTCTCTATATGTAAAACCCCATCCAGCTGGTTTGGGATCAAGTGGTCAGACGAGTGAATGGAAAAACAAAGCAGCGCATTTGTGTGCACTTGTACAGGATTGGAGAGTTAAAGTTTCTGCACATTGCTTCATTTGTATTGAGTCACAGCAGCTAGACTCTATCCAAGCTAACACAAGTCAAGGGGCAGGAAAGACATGCTCACATCACAATTACAGACAGTAATTGTAGATGTGATTGTGGCAATCAAAGATTTTTGGAGGTACAAAAAACTGTCGAACCTGTTAAACCAGCAGGTGTGAAGCAACAGACATCTTGCTGTCAAGCACCAGCGCTAATAAGGAACCATTCTACCCATTTAAAATACCATTGTTCTCTTAATTTTTCCCCTAATCTGTTCCATTTGTGCTATTGGGTTGACGAGAATATAAAAGATGGATAGGATCTAAAACTTTCGACTGGTACTCTAAGACTAATAAAGTATCGTAGCGTTTCTGAAAAATAGTAAAAGGGAGGAGAAAATGGCTTTAGGTGCCTCATGTTCAAATCCATTTGACCTTAATTCTAATGATTCATTTCCTCTGAATATATACTACACTGAAAATGACACTAGCTATCAGGTCTCAAACACCTTATGTGATTGGAAATGTGATAGAAACAGTGAAGTCCACAGAATTGAGTGCAGATGGCCAGAGTTTTTATAACACTAGCTGAGTGTGACTGTGAACACATGGAAACCAGAATGAGATCCCGCCCCCTCCGGTAACTTCCCCAGTGTGCCGACACATGAGATCAATAGAGTCAAGGGAAGGGTGTGGTGTGCAAAAGCAGGAAGGGGGAGGCAGAGCGTGCACGGTGCGAGAGAATCAAAGAGAAAGAGAGATGCCCAGTTAGCAATGCGACTCGCTCACAGCTCATTTCTCAATACTGAACCAGAGGAAGGACGTAGCACCATCTAGGACTTTCTACAGCATTCTTAAAGCTTGGGAAACCTTCACTCCTCAAACATCTTCAGTGAAATATTTGTTAGTCACATTAAAAAAAACCCACAGCATCCTTATTATCAAACATTTATTACTCTAGTCTTCAGAAACTAGACCTCTTTCAATTAAATAACTCCTGTCAGGGGGTGTGGTTGCAAATATGATGCTGGACCCATGCTACATGCAAATCACTCCGAGCTGCAGCTACAGCCTAAACTAAAGCAGCCAGCATTCCTACTACTGTTTCCCTGCATCAAGAAAGGAAAGCTTGGATCAATATTCCTAAATGCGCAGTAAGTATTACAGTGCTTCTAAGGTAACAAAGGCAGCTCTTACTTGCTGCTCAGTGGATGAGCAATGATGTAACCGGCATCTGCTGATTAAGTGGCCAGACACTCAGACTGCTTTCTCAGGGACAGTCCATGCATCCAGGCCTGGGGGACAATGTCCCTTTTTGTGAGAGCATTTACACCAATAAATAAGGGAGGTTGGAAAGTAGGCTAAAATGCTGTGACATAAGCAGTTCTCAGGCTGTCTCACGGTTGATTTGACACACAATATGAAGGAGGAAATGCCTTACATAACTTCTCCAGCAAAAGGGCTAAAAAATTCCCATAGGAGGGAAATGATCAATTGTGGTAAAAAAACAAAACAAGAGCAGACATTAGCTGTTTACTGGTCCTCACAACTTTCCAGTACTTATTTGTCTTACACTTACAGGAATTATTACTGAATTTGTTTTACTGTAATTCCCGCATAGGTATACAGTGAGTGCCACAAACTCATGATTCATTCCCTCAATTAACACATACAAAGGCACGAATATCTATCACCTTACTGGAATGTGTTGATAAGAAACTGGGAGTCTGAACCTAAATTTGACCTCCACAATATACTAATAAAGTAGTATGAGGATAGTCACTTCAGTGTGTACAAAATAACTGGATTTAATCTACCCATTTATATGCATTAACTCCTTTTTTAAGTGCCTTTTATACTCAACTGCACAAAATACTCGAAACCAAGGGTTGTGTGTGTGTGTAAAATCGGGTTGATTTTAATGTTTTGAACATGTTTTTTTGAAAGGTTTGATTTTTAGTGGAAATACAGACCAACTTCACAACGTGTTTTAAAACAAGACGAGGTTGTGGGTGTGTGCAAAGTCAGATACCTGTCACACATGACTGGTTTGAGTATGTAAGTTTCTGAGGAGGAGGCTAGTGGCTAAACAGTTACACAGACGTTTGAGAAATAAACACCCCTAATCCCAGTGGCATTATTTAAACGATCAACGTATTAAATTCCACGTGTTATATCTTGATTATTAACTTTTTAATTGGGTGTGGCCTTCCCAGGCCAACATGTGGGTTTGCCTATTCAGTCACTTCTCCAGCTGTTTTTGTACAAGCCCTGAACTTTAAACATCGCCTAGTAAAGGTGTCCCTGACAACACAAATGCAGTCAGATGGTACACTAACTGGTCTCTACCCTGTCAGCACCCCAGTACAAAGTCTGTGTGATGTCAGATTTTGTTGCTTCTGTGGCTCAGAGGGTACAGTGGTGAGGCCCCCTGAACCACCTGACCCAAAAAACAAAAAACAAACAAAAAACCCCAAAACAAAACCCAAACATGACAGGAGAAACCATTTACGATTTACTGTTACATTGAAAAGTGTGGTAATCCACATTTTACATGAGCCTAGGCTCCTGGTTTTGCAGACAGTGGGGAATTCTTCTGCCCCAAGAACAACAGCACTTAAACTGAGTTCAGAACTCTCCCTGGCGGCTCGCATTTCCACTCCCAAAATAGATGTATTGATTGAACCTGCAGGGGAAGATGGGAAGACGCTGGATTTGCAACACATACACCAAGTGCAGGCCAATGACACAAGGACATACTTCTCAGCAGTGTAGATCATTCCTGCTGTTGTGCAGCCTTGAGACTCCCTGGTTTTTATCTTTTTCATGGCTATCATATCTAACAGTTCACTCTTTCTTTGTCAAGTTTTAAGCCTCTGTTTTATATAAGAATCTAGAGATGTTTGGTAGCCTGAAGTTGTAAAATCATTATATAAAGGAAAATACCGAGAAATGTATTTAATAGATTTGATACAAAAGCAACAAAGAACAAATCTGAACTATTATTTACTTTGCTAAAACTTGGTTAAGCTCAGGTTCTGCAATTTCATTAAAATTGCATTTAATTTTACTGCGATTAAATTCAAATAGAGTATTTTGAAATGAATAAATGTTATTATTTCAGCTACAATGAAAAATAACACTAACACACCTCACATTATCTCACGTTTACCACATAGCCTGTCTGCCCAACCAATATATTACACTCCCCTCTGGTGGGCAAAGGAGAAAAGTGAACTCAGTGTAAAACTGTGTATTTGTGTATTGTATCTTTATTTTGAACATGTATAAGTGTATAGTATAAGAACAACAACCGAGAATAAAGAGACACGAACAAACAAATCAAAACAACAGGAAAACAAAACAATAATAAAAATCATAATTAACTTACATGTTGAAAAAAAGAGTAGGAAGAAGCATAAGCTATATACATAATCCCACCTCTTACACTATTTGGTAACTAACAGTCAACACTTTTTCTTCCTGTTTATGCCCTATCACTTCAGAAATTTGTTACATGTATTTGCTTTAATAACCCTAGTACTGTAACACGTCAAAAGACATACAAATTTACAGATATATAAACATAAACAAACTTGTGCACCCAAACACATATACACATCCCTGGTGTGAAAATAGTGCGTGACAAGACCCGGTCAAAGCCCTACCTCCTCCCTGTACATATTTTTGTACCTCTTTTTAAACCAAGTCATGCAGAGATATTGCTGCAGTTCTTCACTTAATCTGTTCAACAGCTTCTCTCCATACACAGAGATGCAAAAACTTTGTAGTGTACGGATACAGGGATATTCAATAAAGTCAATAAAGGAAACTGTGGTGTCTTGCAGGCTCAGATGGAATCTCTTTATCATATCATGTGAGTTCAGATCACATGCTTTTTCACACATCATCTCCCTTTCCATTACTTCCTTCTCTCAAACGTGCATCACTTTTGACCTACAGAGTCCAGAGGTTACAGACAAAACCTGCTAATGTACGTAAATTCATACTAATAAAACAAAATCCTAACAAAATGGCAGAGAGCCAAATGGAATTTACTTTTTATCCTCCAGTTAAGCGGAAAACCAGTTTTTTAATTCCTTCTGTTTTCACTAGTTCATTTTCACTAGTTTCCCCAGATGATTACTGATGAAAACATCGCCTCCAACAGACACAAAAAAGGAAAAGAATATG